TCCCCCAGCTTTCTAATCTTTCCAGGACACTCCATGGGCCTTGCTAACATCATCCTCGCTCAGACCCTCCCTACCCTCTCCCATAATTCTTTCTCCACCTGGCATTAGATCTAATCATAGAGTCCTATTTAAATCCTTCACTAGCTTCTTAATGGTCTGAGAATAGTAGTCCAAATCCTTAACACATTGACAAAAAGCCTACAAAATCTAGCACAGGGGTGGGCAAACTTTTTGACTCAAGGACCACAATGGGTTCTTAAACTGGACCAGAGGGCCGGAACAAAAGCATGGATGGAGTGTTTGTGTGAACTAATATAAATTCAAAGTAAACATCATTACATAAAAGGGTACGGTCTCTTTTTTTTCAATAGTTTTATTCATTTCAAACGGCTGGATCTGGCCCGCAGGCCATAGTTTGCCCACGGCTGATCTAGCATCTGCCTTTTTGCCCTCCTCTCTGGTAGAGCTCTTCACCTGGCTCTCTTGATTCCATTCACAACAGCCTTTATTCAAGTCCTGGAAGTGCCCATGTTTCTTCTGTGAAGGACCCTGGTATATCTTCCTGGAACTGACTCTTGCCCTAGGTATTTCCCCATTATTATTCAGGGCTTGCCTGAAATCTCATGTCAAGGAAGATTTCCCAGACCCTCTGAACTCTTATCGCACAGTATCTTGCAAGGGTCCTTTGCAGTAATGCTATATAATTAATCTGTTTAGCATGTAACACATTCTGTAACTCATTCTAGGGACTTCTACTCTCAAATATGAGCTCTATGAGTTATTGGTCAGTATTTATTTTGTTCAGTCTTCTCTATACCCATCAAGGTCTTGCAGCTTTGAGTAATTAATAAATATTTTTGAGAAATAAATGAATCAAAATAGATACTGGATACATAAAAGGAAATAGATGTGAAAAAATAAGGTAATAGTAGCTCTAAGGGAAGTAATACAATCTAATGCCATTGTGACCTTCCATTGTATGTATCTCTTTAGAGTCCCTTGATTGGGATTCATCTTCAAGGCTGGTGTTACCTTGTACTTTTTGTAGAGCCTTCTCTACTGGAAGGTCTCCTTACACGGTCTCTCTCTTGGTTTTGGCAGTTGATGGCCAGTGGCAGGAGTGGAGTTCTTGGAGCCAGTGCTCGGTGACCTGCTCGAATGGGACCCAGCAGAGAAGCCGGCAGTGTACTGCTGCGGCTCATGGGGGTTCTGAGTGCAGAGGGCCATGGGCGGAAAGCAGAGAGTGCTATAATCCAGAGTGTACAGGTAAGACCTGACTATATATTTAAGAAATGCTTGCCATTTAAAAATTGCGACAGAATCATGACAGACATGGCATAATCACATGATTATATGTCTTTATTAAATGAAACCAATTATACCCAGACTCATTCTACTGCATGTCACATTAATAAAGCAGCAGAATTCAGGAGAGTCTTAATTTAAATATTGATTAAATTGATGAAGTTTAATACTGAATTTGTACTTTTTACAAATAAAGTTCAATCTCTTCAAAATATTGAAGATTCTGACAAACTTATAAATTTCTGTTCATTACAATGCTCTTGATTTTACCAGCAAGTCAAATATTTAAATAAAGTTTATCCATGGTAGTAGATTAATAAAAGTTGAACAGACTAAGTAATGGTCCTTAGATTTTAAAATTACTAAATTAGTGACACTGATCATGACATATTTCTTTCAGCCAATGGTCAGTGGAATCAGTGGGGTCATTGGAGTGGATGTTCCAAGTCCTGTGACGGTGGCTGGGAAAGGCGAATAAGGACCTGTCAGGGTGTAGCGATAACAGGGCAGCAATGTGAAGGAACAGGCGAAGAAGTGAGAAGATGCAGTGAGCAGCGATGTCCTGGTGAGAATTAACTGAGGTTTCCCCAGTGAAAAAATTTTGTTACCTTAAAAAAAAAGGATTAAAAATATTGTCATTGGTTAAGGGCAGTACTTTCTCAATTGAAGTATTGCTAATGATAAGTGACAATTTACTTGTGTCCATAATGTATAGAGTTTCCTCTCTGTGTGTCATGGACTATTCTATAGGTTTTTAAATCATTTGCTGCAAAATAACATTGAAAATGTGATAATACAAAGGTAGCTATATTGAACAATAACATAGCTAGATATGATTTAAAATAGTTTGGAATATTATTCACAAATTTTTAAAAATTAATTTTTAGACAGAGAGAGAAAGGGAGAGAGGGAGAGAGAGAAACAGGATGAAACATTAATATGAGACAAATATCGATTCGTTACCTTTTATACACATCCTGACTAGAGACTGAACCTGCAGTCTTTTGGTGTATGGGATGACGCTCCAACCAACAGAGCTACCTAGCTAGGGTTTTCACTATTTTTGTAAAAGATTTGTTTACTGAGAACACAAAACAAATTGCATTAGATTATTTATAGTAGAATATAAAGACATGTTAGATAGCTAAGTGGGAAAATTAAAATATGATGTTGAAATCCAGACACCTGTAAATTCTGCTGTTAATTCATCTTGATGCATGACCTTGGATATCCCCATTTATTTGCCCTTGGCCCATTTTCCACTGAAAAAGGAAATTCCGTTGAGGAGCACATTTTAAAATGAAAGTGTAAGATCTTAATTAGTAGTGAATGAATGGAAGTGCTGCTACATTAAAGGATTTGACATGTAAGCATAGAAAAAAAATTAGAGGTAGAAACTACTGACATCATACATCATATACATGTTTGGACAAAAGAGGTTTACAGTTGTGAGTGCATGAAATACAGTATAGTTTATTTTTGTATTATTCTTTATTAATTATTGTGTTATTTTCTACATGAACAACTGTTAACCTACTTAGTCCCACCCTGGATTTTAAAACATTATTTGGAACAAAGACTCCTTCCTAATTGTACATATATTTCATAAAATATTATTGACATACATACTGAGTGAGGACTTAATAAGTATGTGAAAAGTAGGATTTTAGAATGATATCATAGGCAACATGTTATAAACATGCTAGAAAAGATGATAGGATGGAGTTTTAGAATAGCACAGCTATGTATGAAGGGGAAAGTGCTGGCCTTGGAGAATTTGAAGGCCCAGTTAAAGTCCCGTTGCTGCTCATGTGGCTGTAGGGAAGCTAGCTGATCTCGCTGGCTCTCTGGTTCCTGGTGAGGCTGCTGAGTGCAGCTGTTCCAGGTTCCTTTTTCAGTTCAGAAAATGATGGCATTCTGTCTCTAATATAACTACTGCAGTTTAGAAAAACCAAAGAATTCTAAAAGGTATCCAGTGGTCAAAACTTTGGATTTCACCTTACTTCAAATTTTAATGACTTATAGTTCAACTCTAATACCAACAGACACTGGGTTCGAAGGGCACAAAGTCAGTGGGTGTCTTTAGAGCTTACCAAAGATCTGAAGTTAGTTTTGTTCATTCTTTTTTTAAAGATATTTTTATTGATTTCAGAGAGGAAGGGAGAAGGGAGAAAGAGATAAAAAATGAAAACATCAATGATGAGAGAGAATCATTGATTGGCTGCCTCCTGCACGCCCCCTATTGGGGGTCAAGCCCACAACCTGGGCATGTGCCCTTGACTGGAATCAAATCCTTCAGTCCACAGACCGATGCTTTATCCACTGCACCAAACCAGCTAGGGCAGTTTTGTTCATTCTTAAGGCCATAGAAATGTAGAATGATAAGATCTAGCCAGGATGCAGGCTTTGGTTGAGAAGGACACCTATGCAGGTTAGCACTGTCAAATTGTTCCTGTGCTGCATAAGAATTAAGAAGCAGTATACAGCCCTAGCTGGTTTGGCTCAGTGGATAGAGCACCAGCTTGCGGACTGAAGGGTCCCGGGTTCTATTCCAGTCAGGAGCACATGCCCAGGCTGTGGGTTTGGTCCCCAGTGGGGAATGTGCAGGAGGCAGCCAATCAATGATTCTCTCTCATTGATGTTTCTATCTCTCCCTCTCCCTTCCTCTCTGAAATCAATAAAAATATATTTAAAAAAAAAGAAAAAGAAGCAGTATACAAAAACATTTACTTTGCCCAGGGAGAAATGCCTTTAGAACAGTGGGCATGACTAAAGATCCTTTTAATATTTGAAGTTACCTAATGTAGTCTGAGCATGTCAAGGTTCTTAACTATCTTGGACTTTTAAAACGGTCTTTCACCTGCTTATATAGAGGTAAGATGGTGCTGCTGCAATCAAATTTAAAACATTGCCACCTGCTGTTTAGAGAACATTTTGCATATCTATTTACAAAAAGATATTATACCTTATTTGCTAGATTTGTTCCTTGGCTTTTATGACTTAAAGCAGGTTGAAAAATTATCATATAAAATAGTAAAAAGTTTTTTATATTCTATGTACTAAGTTATATTATATTACAGGGGTTTGCAAAGGTAGGTTTATAGTTGCTTGTATGGAAAAAGACATGCGGATTGATTATTACAATAGCTTTATTCACTCTTGTGTTTCATGTACTCACAACTGCAAATCTACTTTTGCCTGCCCCTGGATATTTGATATTAACTTTAACATTTTTATTTTACTCTTTTCAATGATATGATTTTAAATCATATTGTATGTGGAGCAATATAATGACTCCAAATTTACACATTGACAATATAAACTCAAAACACTTTTAAATGATTTTAACAGTTACTAAGACATTCTTCTCCTTTTGTCAATGACAAAGCCACAACAAATATTTCTTTTATAATAATATGTTTTTTAAGTATTACTTTTAGTGCTGTGCATTCCTGATTTTTCTTCAGGTTGACAAAAACAGCTAGTATTTATTTTATGCTTTGCTTAATTGAGATGCAAAGCAAATTAATCAAGTTTTCCAAGGAACCCTCAGTTGTCAGGAAAGAGAAATATACCTAAATCTTTGTCTGGATAATTAATGAAAATAATGATTAATCATCTGGATTGAATCAAAATCTGTTATGGTGTCTACTAAAAATGGAAAGTAAATTCCTCATCAAGATTACGATATTCCTGATAAATAGATAACATAAAAGTAACAGAAAGAGCAGTACAGCATAGGAAATATAGTCAATAATATCATAATAACTGTGTATAGTGCCAGTTGGGTACTGGAAATATCAGGGGAATACCCTGTAAAGTATATGCTTGTCTAACCACTATGTTGTACACTTGAAACTAATATAAGATTGAATGGAAAGTGTAATTGAAAAAAATAAAAATAAAATAAAGTAGAATTAAAATCAAGTAACATCACTGACCAAAAATAAGTTATTTCTCTTATTTTCATAAGAAAAGAGAATTAGAGGGATGAAAAGTACATACGTGTGTGTATATTATATATATATACACATATATATATATTATATATTATATACACACTGTTAGTTGAGCAGTAGAATAGCTACAGGAGAAATAATTAAGTTATTCAGTTTTTTTATTGGTCAAACTTACTAAATGATAATTTCATTGATCTCAATCTCATTTACACCTCAAATAAGGTTGAAATAGTAGAAAAGTAATGAATAGCTCCTATGATTTTGGTACATTGCCACACTGTGAAAACATACTAATTTTAGTCCTCTTTCTGTTTTCCAATATTTCCCTGGTAAGTATCATTCAGAAAGCAGATGCTACTGGTGGATTGGATTTTGATAACTGTCAGGCTTCTGGGACCTCCTTGCTCTGTTCCCAGGGAAGGGCCTTGCTAGTCCTATAGCTCCAGTTCTGAGACCTATTACTCCTTAATCATTATTTGCTAAGTTGGAATCTACCATCCACAGGAGGATGTTAAAATTAATTTATGCATGAAATGTCCTTCTTGGAGTTACAATAGCTTTATTTGCAAATGGTGAGTGAGCCTGCAGATTGAATGTGGTGAGAAAAACTTGCAAAGTAAGATAGGCATGTCATACACAGGGTGTCAGGGAGGAAGATAAAGTCTTAGCTCATATTGACTTATTTTCTCCTCAGTTCCCAGTTGGAGAAGAGGCGAATTAATCACTATTGATAGAGTATTTTGTCATTGTTAGAGACAAGTTAAACAAGTTAATAAGTCAAACTTCTAAACTGTGTGGACCACTGCAGTTTCAAGGCTATACATAATCATTATTAGAAACCCAACTATGTGCTGTAAAACTTAATTTCTTTTTTTTTACATTATGGTTTTTTTTCAATTAGAGTTTACAGTCAATACTATTTTGTATTAGTTTCAGATGTACAAGATAATGGTTAGACAATCATATTCTTTAAAAAGTATTCCTACATTTCTAAAGAGGAAAAAAGCATATTACTCTACTTACTCTATAGTGAAATATTTGCATACAAGTTGACACCTGCTTTACTTATCTTTTTTTATTCCAAACCGCAAGGTTATCACTAATAGTACTTTTTAAAAGCTTCTAATGCATTAGAACAGGGGTCCTCAAACTACAGCCCGCGGGCCACATGCAAATGCAAATATTGTATTTGTTCCCGTTTGGTTTTTTTACTTCAAAATAAGATATGTGCAGTGTGCATAAAATTTGTTCATAGTTTTTTTTTTAAACTATAGTCCGGCCCTCCAACGGTCTGAGGGACAGTGAACTGGCCGCCTGTTTAAAAAGTTTGAGGACCCCTGATTTAAACTGTGATTGCAACTTTGACTTTAATT